CCGCTAAAGGTATAAAATTAAACCTTGACGAAAAGTCATCATGTCCAAAATTATTCATACCCCAGTGATACCAAGACAGATAGCCACAGGATGTTCAATCAAGTCGTTCTCTTTATGTGTGTAAGTGTTTAAAATTGTTTTCAGTGTTTCAGAGGGTTTTTTTGTTTTGTTTTTTTACCAGTTCACTAACGATAAAAACTGACTTGCTTTTGACATCTCAGTCATTTTCAAGTCAACGCCTTGCCATGGCAAAGGCCAAAGAGCTCGGTGGAGACTTGTGAGCACGCATTGTAAATGTCAAAAAGGAAGGAAAAGGGTCAAAAAAATGTCGAACAATTTCAGGTGCAAGTGGCAACGGTGCAAAGTATCATCAATAAGTACCAAAAATTTCACACAGTCAAAAACCTCAAAAGTCATTAGTTATTACCAGAAAAGATCAAGCAAGCTGTTGAAAACAATCCAAGGACAACAACCAAGGCTGTCTTGAAGAAACTGAGCGCAAGTGGTGTGACTCTTTTAAGGCAGACATTCCAGCGGAAACTGCACCAAAATGGTCTCTATGGAAGTCAACCAAGAGAGACCCCACCACTTTAACCAAAGCATGTAAAAGCTCGTCTAATAATAATAATAATAATAGATTTTATTTGTAACACACTTTACATTTAAAAACAAATCTCAAAGTGCACAGACATACCTAGAGAAAGACGAAAGCTTCTTGTCATCTGCTTTGTGGTCAGATAAAAAGAAGGGCGAGGTCTACAAGCCAAAGAACACAGTTCCTACTGTGAAATATAGGTGGAAGCATTATGCTGTAGGGCTGCCTTTCTGCAAACAGGCCTAGCAACTTTGTTAAAGTGGAAGGCACCATAAGAAAATAGCATTGTATTAAGATTCCCAAAGAGAACCTCAAGCAGGCACCAGAGAACCTGAACCTGGGGGAGCGTTGGACCTATCAGCAGGACAATGATCCGAAGCATACAGCCAAGGGCGTGAAGAAATAGTTCCAGGACAATGATATCAATGTCATGAAGTGGTCAAGTCAGAGTCCTGATTGAACCCCATGGAGAACCTATGGGTGGAGCTCAAGAAATGGGTGACAGCGTGAAAACCCTCCAACCTCAAGGATCTTAAAACTTTTGCAAAGGCAGAATGGTCAAAAATTCCTGCAGATACTTTCAGGAAGCTTGTAAGCAATTACAAAAACAGTTTTGAGGCTGTGACAAATAGTAAGGGGTTTGCAACTGATTATTAAGACAGGGTATGAGTAATTTTGGACAGTATGATTTTTTGTTTTCACTCAGTTTTCACCCAAGATGCTTCTAAATTGGTTATGGTTTATGTATATATATATATATATATATATATATATATATATATATATATATATATATATGTACTACAGGCCAAAAGTTTGGAAGCAAGGTCATTACAAGCGGAACAGTTGGGAGTAGCTTCAAGTTTTTGTTCACAATGCTTTTTTTTAAATCCAGCATGAGTTTTCTGTATTTTGGGATGTAATTACTCCATGATCAGATGTTGCTTTCATGAAAATGCACCATTTTACTCCATTTACCTTTAGATATACATTGATGTTAACAGCCCATTGCTAAATATATGTCAGCAAAAATGATAAGGGCTTAGTTTTAGGGTTGAAAACATTTGGTTGAAAACAGGTTGCAAGAGTCACAACTTCAGTGCAAAAGCAAAAAAGACAAATCACAGTTGGATTATTCACTTCAACTTTTTGGCTTTTGAGAGTCTGCATACAAAAATCCTAATAAATCTCAACTGTGTTCAAACTACCACAAAAATGGCTAGAAAGAAGCAACTGGGTAAAG